GTGAGTGCCTACACTGTTGAGTGCCAGATTCAATTACAGAAAAACAAGGTTCCATATTCCATATACACTACAAACCCAATTTGACAATCAGTAGCCAATAAGAACTATATTGTGTAGGGCAGAGGGCAGAAAAGTTTCACCTTGCATGTCACTACATTGGTCTGGGGTGTACTACCTTTATGAGTCACATTGTTGTTGTCTAGTCGTTAAGTCATGTCCGACTCTTCGTGACCTCATGGACCAGAGCACGCCAGGCCCTCCCATCTTCCACTGCCTCCTGGAGTTTGTTCAAATTCATGTTGGTAGCTTCGATGATACTGTCCAACCATCTCATCCTCTGTCGTCCCCTTCTCCTCCTTCCTTCACACTTTCCCAACATCAGGGGCTGTTCCAGGGAGTCTTCTCTTCTCATGAGATGGCCAAAGTATTCTCAGCCTCAGCTTCAGGATCTGTCCTTTCAGTGAGCGCTCAGGGTTGATTTCCTTCAGAATGGATAGGATTGTTCTCCTTGCAGTCCAGGACCCTCTCAAGAGTCTCCTCCAGCACCACAATTCAAAAGCATCAATTCTTCGGCGGTCAGCCTTCTTCGTGGTCCAGCTCTCACTTCCATACATCGCTACTGGAAAGATCATAACTTTGACTATGTGGATCTTTGTCGGCAAGGTGATGTCTCTGCTTTTTAAGATGCTGTTTAGGTTTGTCATCACTTTCCTCCCAAGAAGCAGGCGTCTTTTAATTTCATGACTGCTCTCACCATCTGCAGTGATCATAGAGCTCAAGAAAGTAAAATCTGTCACTGCTGCCATATCTTCCCCTTCTGTTTGCCAGGAGGTAATGGGACCAGGATCTTAGGGTTTTTTTTATGTTGAGCTTCAGACAGTTTTTTGCACTCTCCTCTTTCACCCTCATTACAAGGTTCCTTAATTCCTCCTCACTTTCTGCCATCAGAGTGGTATCATCTGCATATCCGAGGCTGTTGATATTTCTTTCTGCAATCTTCATTCCAGCTTGGGATTCATCCAATCCAGCCTTTTGCATGATGTATTCTGCATAGAAGTTAAATAAGCAGGGGGACAATATACAGTCTTGTCGTACTCCTTTCCCAATTTTGAACCAAGCAGTTGTTCCATATCCAGTTCTAACTTTTGCTTCCTGTCCCACATATAGATTTCTCAGGAGACAGATAAGGTGGTCAGGCACTCCCATTTCTTTGAGGACTTACCAATGTTCGTTGTGGTCCACACAGTCAAAAGCTTTTACATAGTCAATGAAGCAGAAATAGATGTTTTTCTGGAACTCTCTGGCTTTCTCCATAATCCAGTGCATGTTAGCAATTTGGTCTCTAGTTCCTCTGCCCCTTCAAAATCTAACTTGTACTTCTGGGAGTTGTTGATCCACACACTGCTGAAACTTGCCTTGTAGGATTTGAGCATAACCTTGCCTAGCATGTGAAATGAGTGAGTGAATGAGTCACATAAGGTTCCCCTTGACATTTAGTCCAGTCGTGTCTGACTCTAGGGTGCAGTGCTCATCCCCGTTTCCAAGCTGTAGAGCCAGCGTTTGTCCGAAGACAGTTTCCGTCATCATGCAGCCAGCACAACTAGACACGGAACACCGTTACCTTCCCACCGAGGTGGTACCTATTTATCTACTCACATTTTTACATGCTTTGGAACTGCTAGGTTGGCAGGAAGTGACTCGCATACCGAAGCATCATTTCTATCCCATTCTGGAGTAGAGGCTGAAAATAATTCTTTGGCACGCATTTAAAAAGCAGAAAGTGAGATGATGGACCTTCCAAATGTTCTCTGTTGAACCCAAGCAGGATAACATGTTCATTGGGAGGAAATGCCACACTTTCATTAGTAAACTGAGGAAAATGAAGACAAGGGTTGTGATAAAAAAAGTGACTCATACTTAAGACATCTCTTTTTGTCATGGCACAGTGAGGATGATCAGACCCTTTTTTTGGCAGTCTGAGAAAATCAACCTGGGCTGAACTCAAATGAATTCCCTTTCTCCTAAAAAATCTTGCTGGGAAAGTGCAACTTAAGAGCTAAATCTAGCTTTGTTTTGTTTTCTTTTGCTTTTGGTCCCAGTTTAGTTAGACTCACTGGCCAACATCCTGTTGTGTAGTTATGCCTGCAGCTGTGAATTTCATGCCAAAGTGGAAGTCATATCCAGTAAGCTGTTGCACAGGAGCAGTTGTGCAACTGGCTGCACAGTCCATGGTGCAATCAACCGCACAAACACACAGTGGGGAGTGACTCCCTGTGACCATCCATAGGCATGCCTTTTTCTTATGCCAGGTGCAATAAGATTTCAGCCAAAGTCTGAAAACAGCACACTAAGTTAACACCTACGTAAGTCTCATTGACAAACCTCCACTTTGATATCCCCAGATCCATCTTCTATAAATATATGGAAACTGACAAAAAATATGGATAAATAAGAGCTAGATTTAGCCCAGAAAGGCAAACCCGTTGCTTCAGACTACAACACCCACATTCCCTGGCCTTTGTTTCTGTTGGCTGGGATTTATGGAAGCCATCTAAAACATTTGGTGAATGCCACTGCCAAGTTGCCTTTACCTGAATTAGAACATGTCCGTCCCGAACTTCTGGCGAACTTCTTGAACTCACTTTGCCACTGAGGTTCTGTTCGGGGACACCGGGACTACATCAAAGCACAAGGAGGGTGCGTTTTTAGCTATCCATGATATGAAGGAAGAAACACGTGTCGATAGCATGATGTTAATAATCCTAGGTGGGCATCATGCTGTTGACTTCATTCTGGTTGAGGAGGCTGCAGTGTCAGTGTGATAATTCAGGGGCATGGTAAGTTAGCCTCTTGCCTTCCAGATGCAGGCCTTCCAACTGAATATCCATTTAAGGGGTAACGGCTTCTAAAAAATAACTCCTTGCTCTAGATTGGTGGTTATTTCTTAGTCTTGCTTAACAAGGTCTCGTTTGGATCTAGGAAGTGATTCATAGGGCATGAAATGTAATATTTATTTATTCTAGAATTTCTACCCTGCCTCGCAGCTTGTGAAAGAACTCTTGTAGCAGTTAGCAAACTACGCAGACAAAAAATGGAAGAGGCAGTAAAATACATATCGAGAAGATTATTTTAAAAAAACCTCTGAACCACAAGAGACAACAACTCAGTGACGGCAGCAACAACACTACAGCATCGCCAACATAATTATTGTAATGTTGTATGGTGGTTACAACGTTGGTTTAGGACTCCGGAGGTGAAGAGTCAAATTCCCATTCAGCTGTGCAATGCACTGGCTGACCCTGACCCAGGCAGCCCGGCCTACCCAACAGGGGTGTTCTGAAGATCAAGTGGGAAGGAGGAAAGCCACGTACGCCACCAAAGGAAAGAAAGATGCCAATGGAAATAGAAGGATGTAGAAGAGGAGGAGAAGGTTGCTTATTAAATCCCTGGGAAAAAATTCCCAAAGTTTCCTGAGACTTGTCAGCAAGGCCCACTCAGAATGTCAGTGTGGTTGGTGAAGTGCTTTCTGGTGTCTCCCATCATTCATGATCCACCTCAGGTCAGCATTTTCCCCCCAGGCCAGAGTTTCACCTGCAGGTTTCCCAGCTGCTGAGTCTGGGAAGCTGTCTTGCCATTTTAACGGAAAACAGCAAACAGATCCCTATAAGGTTGCCAAAGTGGCTAGGGAAATGGGGGTGGGGAGGCTCAAAGGAAGGGGGTTCCTTGCCTACAAAGTGCTGTCTTTGGATGGCAAATCAAGAGGCTCGTCCAATGGTCTCTTTTAAATAAGGAGTGCCAGATCTTGGGAAAAGGGATTAAAGAAGAAAAAAAAAACCAACAAATCCAGTTCTCAGAATACCACCCTTCAATTCTGACACAGTCCAAACTGGTAACCTTTCAAAGCAATGAGAATTCTATAATTCCAATACGCTCCAAACCTTCTAATTTCATTTGCCTAAATTTAACTGGGGTAGATAGCTCAGTGAAGTAGGCCTCTGGATGTGGAGCCAGAAGTTGGGAGTTCAATTCCCTCACTGTGCCTCCTATGGTGGAGGCAGGCCTGCATCAAAACAAAGGTTATTCAAATTATTGGTCTTTCCTACAGGGATACGTACAGTCTGTCTACCATCTCTCCCTGCCCACTCCCTAAAGCATTACCACTAGCATTTTAAGAAGCGCCATCTAGATAGTTCTCTTTGTGCCACCCTTCCTATTGGTTTCCAAAGTTTGTTTGAGGTGCGATACAGAACGGGCTTCCCTTTGTGTTTTTCCAAAGTCTGAGGTACGGTGTTTCTTTTCATACAGCTCGGAATAGTGATGGTGTTCCTGTTTTCCTTGTATTGGCAGAAAAGCATTACCACTAGCATTTTAAGAAGCGCCATCTAGATAGTTCTCTTTGTGCCACCCTTCCTATTGGTTTCCAAAGTTTGTTTGAGGTGCGATACAGAACGGGCTTCCCTTTGTGTTTTTCCAAAGTCTGAGGTACGGTGTTTCTTTTCATACAGCTCGGAATAGTGATGGTGTTCCTGTTTTCCTTGTATTGGCAGAAAGGCCAGGATGGATGGATGGATGGATGGATGGATGGATGGATGGATGGATGGATGGATGGATGGATGGATGGATGGATGGATGGATGGATGGATGGATGGATGGATGGATGGATGGATGGATGGATGT